GCATGAAAAAAATCCACCCTGCAGGTGTTATTCTACACTCTGACTTCAGTTTCATGGCCTAAATAAACAAAGCGACTGCGGTGGCGTTGGTCAGCCAAGATCCTGCGGCCGCTCCTTCGTGCCTTCATCACAAACACACGACGCTGTTGTCATGCACTTTTCACCGGTCGTCCTTAAAAGCCCACTGAGAGGCTACAACTTATCAGGAATTCTATTTAAAATTGGAGATGCAGGGTTTTTCAGCTGTGGAATAACCCACCCAGAGACATCAGAGAAGCAAGGTTTGAATAGCACTTTAGCACATTTGTTTGTTTTAACTCGGCCTTAATGTCGTTTCTTTTAATGTAAAATCACATTGCGGTACATGTGTTGCATTAAAGGTGCTTTACAAATGATATATAATAGTAGAAATATTGATATTGATCATAACAATAGAAGCAAATTTTACTCAATAATAATATTAAGCATACACTCTCGCAGCTGATAAATTGCTCAGAAACACGACTGGTGCTTTTAAGAACCGTTAATCTTCATGTTTAAATCCCTCTGATTTCTGGTTGTGGCTATTTTATTATTGTTATTGCCTGTTTGTGTCCGTTTGCTTCCAGTGCCTTGGCCAGCCTCCACAGCGTCATGTTCTACCTGGTCTGCCTGGTGCCCATGTGTGTCGCCGCTCTGCAGGTCCTGGCTTGGAGGCCGTTTTCCATCCGCAACAGTCACACAGTCGACGCCAAGTACACCGACAGCTAACGTCTGAGCTGGTGCATGTTTCTTTAGCTGGGATTTGGGGGAATATAGAGTGTAAATGATTTCATATTTGATGCAGTCTGTGGCTTTATACTTAAAATCGTCTTGGTGTAGCTGACAGGGACTTTACTGAATCACTGACTTACATTACCTGCAATCAGAGCTATCCTCAAGAGAGACCTGAGTTATTGAGCACCAAAACTTAAATGGTGTAAAACTTGTGTACATTTCTTTATTCTGGTACTGATCAATCAGAGAATCATTCCTCATGACAAAATCTCAGCCACATATCGGACCAATTCTTCAGAAGACACAAAATGTTTGTTTTGTTTTCAACACAGGATCTTTGACACTAAATGGAATTTAAACAGCTGCTTCAGAAACTGTCAGAAATCACTGAGAAATTCAGCCTCCTGAAGCAGAAGACAAGAACAGAATGTATTGAGTTGACAGCGTCCTGAACCAAAGCTGGTCAAATGGTTATTCGCGGGACGCTGACTTCCTTTAACCTCATATGTAGACGTACATTCTGCCTCCACATGTGGTACATTTTTATATCAAAGAACTTTCACATTCCAGGGAGGATTCTGGCTGCATGATGAAGGACACTGCTGCTCTATACACACAAAATGCACCTTACAGCTGAAGTATAATGTTCTTTAGTCAGCTTATGATGCTGTTACATCCATCTGTATGGTGCAGAGTGCAGAAAGACTGAATTCATCCGGGTTACGTTGTGGATCAGGGACCCATTTCACTAATGCAGATTCTGGCAGAATCACTTCAGAAATGATCATCACCTGCAAAATGCAAAGTTGGGCTTTAGTGTGACACTTGTTTTGATGAGTTCAAATGAGAGGAAATGGTTTCATATCATAAATTGCATGTTTGTAAGTCACACATATGGTGACACTCAGCCTGGGTTTGCTGAGAGGCCCCTGGTGCTGATAATCCACAGTTTGATTTCATGATTTAAAAAAAGAAACGAGAAGAAAATGTCAGAAAGCTGACAATTATTACAGTCATCTGTGTTTATACATGATGCCCTGACATGCATCTACATCTGCAGGGTCTTAAACACACTCATGCTTTACTTGAAATGATAGCCAAGACTAAAAAACACAACGAGAGCAAAATGTTATGAGGCGCACGCTTCTTACATGATGATTTACAGCAGAGAGAAATGAGAAGAGACGGGACACAAAGGGAAGATTCAATTGAACTGCGAAAACAACAAAGTTTATGTCACAGCTTTTCATTTATTTAAAAGAGTGCATGTACATCCATCTCATGCTCCATACGCTGGCTGGAGCTGAATTCTAATTGTGGACATTTGAAGTGGACCAAAGTATGTCGCAATAACTGAACAGAACAAAACGAAGCATCACCAACAAGAACATTGATCCTTAATGTGAGTTTCCGATAAGCTGACAGTCCAACACCAAAACAACATCCTTCCCTTTTTTACTTTCACATTTTAAGATGTATTAGATGAACATAATGTGCCTTTTCTTGTCTTCACAGCTTTTCAAACAAACAAAATCAGTGTGAATGTTTTTGATTAAAAATGTTCTATCTACGTTCTCTGTGATTATTGCTTTAAAATGTTATGATGACATATATGACAACAGTGCCATGAATCCTCTCGTGCAAACTGGTGATAACCGCCTTGGATCGTTTCCTCACAGCTTTAATCTCAGCTTAGAAAACAGTGTGATCTACAAATGGTGTCTTTTGCTCTGCATTTCTAAAAGTAACGTTCACATTTCATTCTTACATCACACAGATAATTATGTGTGTTTTGGGTTGCTAAGACTCCTGAAATACAACTTCAAGAAGACGTGTGGTTGAGAACCAAAAGAACATCTGTAAGCTGTCAGTGAGACGACGTGGACGGAGCTAAAGAGAGACGTTACGCCACTGAGGCTGAAAATTCAGAGAATGATGGCTAACCCTGACTCAGCACCGCCGAGAGAAACGATGACGAGCACGACTGACTTGCACCCTTCGTGGATTCCCTTCCGTCATGGAACTTCGTCCTTGATTCATGGCCTTGAAATTTCCTTTCTGTCAGAGTGACGTCTGAGGTCCCAGAATGTCCCTTAGACGTTTTGATAGATGTCATCAGTGGAGCCGTCCAGCTCACCGTTTGCAGCCTGCAATGAGATGGAAGCTCGTCGTTACCTTTACAGTAATGCAGAATATTCCCAGAGTGGATGGAAACTACAGACTTGCTGTAACTCAAGCTGCTGCGGAAAAGTTTTGTGCTTACTCAACGTGCCTGTTGACCAAATCAAACCTTAACATGCTGCAACATGATTTACCTCAACTCGAGTGGAGTTTCCTCTTGCTGTGTGTTTGCTTTTCTCCAAGTTCCGTCTGCTGTACATTTCTTGCAGGACGTCACGAAACTGCAGTTTTTTACTCGAGTTATTCTGTTTGGAAAAATGAGTAAAAATGTGTTAATATTCAGCAGACATTTAAGCATTTCCTTTTCTTTATTTACGAGAAGAGCAAGTGAGCAACTTCTTCTACTGTTTCAGGAATCTTCTCTGGCCAGTAGTTCACACAGGCCAGTTTCCTGTTCCCCTTTTTGCTACTGCGGACTTTTCCCCATTTAGAAAACAGTGAACTCATCAAGCGCAGCATAAAATAGAAAAAGACAGATACTTCTCCACAACCTTATCAGTTGTGCACATCCTTCTGTGGACAGTTGTTTTGCAGCCACACTAGGAAAGAAAGAAAAGGGTTAATTTCCGTGACACAATACAACACATTTGAAATATGTACTTGATTTACCTTTTTCAGAATAAAGGTCAGGATCACCAGGCTGTAGACGACCAGCAGGACGAGTAGCGACAGAAGGATGTGTCCCATCATTATGTCAGCTTGCTCTGAAAAGAAAGGCAAAGCTGTTTGTCCCGTTTCCTCAGAGCATCCAACCATGTGAGTCGGACCTGCTCAGTCGGTGTTTCTCCCACCGAGTCGTCCTTACCTCTCACTACCAGAGCTGTGCCCGTCCCCACATGCTGTGTGCAGCAGGCTTCTGCTCTACCTGTTGCTGCAGCAGCACAGTGGTAGATGCCGCTGTCGTTGCCCTGAAGGGAGTTGATCTGTAAAGATGCTCCACTCAGGTTGTACTTGTTGTCAGTCAGGTTGAGACGATAATGCACACTTTCTTTGAAAACAAACCATTCGTAACGCAAATCTTCAGCTGAGCAGTCAACGCTGATGGTGCAGGGAAGAAGAGCAGCTTCTCCTGTTTTCTCCCATATGGTCTTGTCTGGCTGTGAGACGCAGTTCTCTGCTCTGTTCATGCTCTCTGGAAAATAAGATGTTTAGACATGAGGTTGAATGTTTCATCTACAGGAGGTGTGTTGGAGAGGACGAGGTATAGAAAGGACATCTTACCTACGGCAGGCAGGTGAGTGAGCAGCAGAGAAAGCCACAACAACCGGTCCATCTCTGTGGCTTGACAGCTTGTGAATGATCTCATGATTCCTTGTATGAGACGATCTGACAAAATGTCACTGCACTTCCTCAACGCTTAGTTCCTGCTTCTTTTGCTGTATTGAGCAGATGAATGTTGACGTCATGAGTCTACAGAAACATGAGTCACGGGTAAAGACAGCGCTGAAACTTTACCATATTGATGATAAAATCGGTTAAATGGAAACCAAACAATGGGATGAGACCAAGAGCAGATCTACACGAATGGCAAAGAAGTTCAAATTTGTAGTTTTGGTCTGAAAAAAAAAACAATGAAGAAATTATACAAAAGTTTGCACTCAATGAAATATGTGCTAGCATGAACCTGTACGATGCCGATAATTAAAGTCAGTCATTTTACAGGTGAATATTTTACATGTAAATCAGTGAGGATGAAGAATCATGACAAATTAAACCGACCACCTCTGGTAAAGAAGCACTGGGTTTCTCCAACAGGGAGGTGGTGTCTGACGTCAGCCACAAGTCATCGCTGGACGTGCTGCTGACAAACCTCATCCAGGGGAACCTGCTTCCCTC